GCACACGTAACAATTGCAACAATTCGTCCACAAGCAGGCACAAAAACGTAGAGGGGAATATAACTGATTGCATGCACATGTTGCACGGTAGCAACCAATAATTTCCAAGTTTACTACTTAGTTTCGTATTAACCAGAAACAGAATTCTATCGTCTAGACGATGCGATCGATAAACGACTACCTAAAAAAAACTTGCGCAAGGGTTTGCGAGCAATCTCGTGAGTGAAACTACGACTTCACTTCACGATGACAAACCAATCGATGAGCATAGAAGCGAACAGTGTAGGTAACACATACAGTGAATACAGTATCGAATTGAATCGCTGGTTTCTTAAACCGATCGGTGCTTGGCCATATTTCTCCACAACCACAACGCTTGAAAAGATCGTCTCCGTGATTCTGATTGTCCTCTGCTACGCCATTTTACTGTTCAGCATAATCCCCTGTGTGGCACACTTGATCTTCGTAGATGATATCTTGTACAAGAAAATAAGAGCGTTTGGTACGATGGGTCGTTGGTTGATCGGTGGCGTCTGTTACACCAATCTACTGTTTCAAAGGAAACGCATTGGTGACTGCGTGGAGCACATAGAAACCGATTGGCGAACAGTGACGAAAGACAGCGAGCAACAAGTAATGCTGAGGCGCGCGAAATTTGGCCGATACGTGTCGAGCTTATGCGCGATCTTCGTGCACACTGGAGCCTTGTCGTACTGTGTAGTAAGCGCGTCCACTGCGCAGACTATTAATATCGGTAACGAGACCAGAACGTACCGTACGTTGCCGCTCAAAGTTTACAATAAGATGATTCCAGTGGAAACCAGCCCCGCCAACGAGATAGTCCTCGTGATGCAGTTTCTGTCAGCTTTCGTCTCCGACTCCGGTGGCATTGGATTCTACGTCCTCGCGAGTGTCTTAGCTGCCCACGCTTGCGGACAGTTGGACGTGCTGGCGATCTGGATCAACGAGTACGTGAACGAATCTAAGGACAAAAAGGAGGGCGCTTCTTTTAGAAAAATCGAGATGATCGTGCAACATCACCTGAGAATATTGGAGTAAGATCATTACTCCAATTATTTTATCGATTCATGTCTCGAGAGAGTGGTTGTTTATATTGGTATTAATTACAGTTTTATAGCACGTATAGAAGAAATAATGAGCTGGGTATGCATGACGGAGTTGTTTAGGTGCATACTGGCCATATCCATGGTTGGGTATTTTTCTGTTATGGTACATAATACGAGATGTATACTGAATCTATTTATCGCATGGCTAATTATTTTTTTGACTGACATTGAACAATTCGATGTGAAGCTATTTCTGTGGGTTGCGATCTTGTAAGAAGGGTTTAGCTTAAATCAGCAAAACAATTGAAATTCCAGTAAAATTAGTTTATCAGAAAAATGTAAGATATGAAGAGAAACAAATATCTGATTGAAACAGATCTTTTTATCAAAATTTTTTAAACAACTATTTTTGTTCTTTATACGCACAATTCTCTGCATCATAAATATAAAAATAGCTTCATGTCGCATTATTCGTAAGCATTGATATTGGAATCATTGGCTTTTATGCAAATTTACATTTTTGTAAGCAAAATTGAAGACAGATTTGTTCCTTAAAGATTGCATATTTTTTACAATTATATATGTACTTTATTTGAATATTTGCACACTCTCCCTTTACATATTCGCCAAAACTCAGCGCGGAATCTACACTTACACTACTCTAGAGTCGTATTTGAATCGTTTCCATAATTTGACACACCAACGATCAATCCTGACGAAATTCGAAGATTTTCTCAAGAATGTGAAACTTATTTCTAGGAGTGGTCCGAGCACGATGTTCGAAATCTCGCTACATATTTTATAGTATTTGCATCAGTGACATTCAACACATTTGTATTGTGTTATATCGGTGAACTGCTAACAGAACAGGTATCAGAGAATCTTTACTACGAAGATGTCTATCAAACATCACCGAGAAATCGACGATTAATCGAATGAATTGTTCACAGTGTATGAAAGTCGGTGAGATAATTTACATGACAAACTGGTACCGTTTACCCGTAAGAAAAATGCTCGACTTGGTTTTGATCATCGCACGATCGAGCGTGGTCACTAAAATGACTGCAGGAAAGATAATTCAGATGTCTATTTACACTTTCGGTGACGTAAGTCGCATTATTGCCTACATTTAAGAATGTTCACCACTCTCTGAAAAGTCACGAAACTTGTTATTCCAGGTGATGAGATTGGCCTTCGCGTATCTGAATGTATTGTTGCAGGTGGCGTGATTAACCAGCACTTAGCGAATTTCTTACTTGTATACTTTTGTAGGTAAAGTTGTAGAACGTGAAAAAAAAAACAGCTGTAACGCGACTTATGATTATTCTGTCAACGTCTACGTTCTTCTCGACATTTTATCATTTCGTTCCCTAGTCGTACTTATATTTTTCCTCGTCATTCGACGATTATTCGTCAAGTCCGAGAGGTGGGTGTGCACGCTAACCACTGCACCAACTGTCTGCATTGCACACGTAACAATTGCAACAATTCGTCCACAAGCAGGCACAAAAACGTAGAAGGGAATATAACTGATTGCATGCACGTGTGCACGGTGCAACCAATAATTTCCATATCAAGTTTACTACTTAGTTTCGTATTTACAAGAAACAAAATTCTACCGAGTAGTCGAATCGATCGACAAACGACCACCTGAAAAAAACTTGCGCAAGCGTTTCCGTGCAACTTCTGCGAGTGAAACTTCACTTCACGATGACAAGCCAACCAATGAGTATAGAAGCGAACAGTGTAAGTAATACCTACAGTGACTACAGTATTCAAT